TAGCAGTTTTGCCGCCAACTACGGGATCAACTTTTTACGACCAAGGTAGGGGTCTCCGTTTCGAGATACTACCCATGGCCCAGGATAAGCGTCCAAAACGGAAAAAATCAACTTGAAAAAATTGCGAGGGCGATCACGTCACCCTCTTCATCGGACAAAATACGATCCCCTTGACCGAACCCCTGCGCATGGCCCATGACGAGCGCCTAATGCAGAAAAAATGCGGAAAAAAGGGAAAAAATCTCAAGGGCAATCACGATACCGCTTCTATGATGAGTGTCTGGAATAGATAAAATCAACTATAATCAAAAAGAATTTTGAGGAAAAAGTCAGGTCCTTTCTACCCAAGCGATCGAATTAGGACATCCCTCTGTTGTTTTCCACAATGGGTAATGTGCCCTTCCTAGGCAATGGGCGACACAGACAAAGAACTTCTAAAAATACACTGCACAGAGGGTAATGCTTTCACTACGTGGTTTTCGAGACAATGCAGCTCCTTAATTTGTCACGAGGACACTCAAAATAAAAACTTTCGCACTATAAAAAAATTTTTGCGCGTAAAATGGGTGTATTGAAGTGAAATGAGTGTGGAGAAGTGATTTCGTGCTGATTTACGCAGTCACACTTCATAATCACACCACTATACACACACAACGGATGCACTTTATGGCTATCACAACAACGCACGAGTTCGATCATGAGCCTCGCATCGCCTTTCACATGAACGTAATATTCAAAGTGCAGACCGATTAAAAGAAATCTAAAAACTAATCTCTCATGGGAATGAAAAATTCCGAAAAACGCTACATGAAGGCTTCCGCCTGTCATCAAAGCATTGCTGAGATTCGCCATGCACTTTACTTTCAAACGCAAATAGGCTTGGTAGGGGCACCGAATGGCGATTTGTGAAGCCTGTGAAAACCATTTTGGGAAGCCCTGTAAACTCTTGCAACCAAAGTGGCTCCTCTGTACCATTTCGTAGCTCCGCAGTTCATCTGTTAGCTCACAGAACCAACAAAAGGATCTAGTGCAGGGCACGCCATCGCGCTGTGATCATTCCTGAATAATACGAGCCCCCCCCCTCCCATGCTACCTACCACTTTCCTAGATTTTCCCAACTTCCTACCACTTTTTTCATTTTTTCCCGAAAAATTTCTGGTTTTTCCCCAAAATTATGCTGTCGAGCGCGGGGGGGAGTGGGGGGAGTGAGGGAGGTCGTCAGGATTTTAACTAATTTTCAATTATCGGAAATAGTAGTTGTATAGGACTTTGGCAGTCCCTCCCAACAACGACCCGCGAACCAGATACTAGGACCCCCCCCCTTCATAGCGTCCGTGAAACAAGAGAAATCAACTATCAAAAAATTTTCTCAGACCAAATACGACCCCTCCCCTCGCGGTCAAATACGACCCCCCCCCCGTTGTGATCATCACAACGATGGCGTGCTCTGATCTAGTGTGAGTGTAAAATGCCCCTCCCCTTCCGAATAGCTCCCATTTTTTATTGGAAGCGTAGTGACACCTCGGAGTAGCGGAGTCCGAAATATCCTTTTCGTTGACTTGCGGGGATGATGTACAGATTAGTTAATTAGATAGTTAGTTTTACCCTCACAGGCATATCAGCATCATTTTACGGACCCGGAGCTTGCTAAGCGTTTCATCACCCCTACCAACCCTACCTCACTGACGAATCCCGGAGCTGATGAATGAGCAAAGGTTTTCTTGTATGAGATGAGGAACGAAACGAACCATTTCGGCTTTATAGATGTTTCCAACTACTGTCCCTTTTTCCTTCTCTGACTGGCTTGATCCAGGATTTGATTCCCTGAATCTGCGCGTGGTAAGCGACGCCATTTACCACTGCACCACCCCTGCCCTCCTCATACATTCGGAATTTAGCATTCAAGAACGTAACAGTCATTTTTTTTCTTGGGAATGCGATGGCCAGAGGCATGTTTGTCATCGACACAGACCGCAAATAAATCACTTGCGAGCAACCAAACTCCCTCTCGTCCTCGGGTTGTATAACTAACAGCAAGTGCAACTGAAAAGTAAAAATACTTCAATTAGAGCGGCTTCACAAAAACTGAGGCAGTTCGATATAGTGGGGGCACTGAATGGTATTCCGAAGCTTGTGCAGGCCACCTTGAGAATCTACAAAGACCTCATAATTGGACCTGTATCTATAATGAACTAATGAAAAAGCTAGTGTCAATCATCCCTCCCTAAATGCTCTTCACCAAGTTGAATCGCGCCCAAAAAACCCTTTGCATGGAGCCGAGAAGCATCCAGTAGTACCTCGATTCCAGAATGAAATCCAGTGAGTGGCGTATCCATCCTACAGAATGGTGAACCGCGAATTCTTCTAAACTCCTTAGGGAAAAATAAGCGATTCGAAGTTCAGACGGCTAGGACTTGGTCCGTAAACACATAGCTCCCAAGTTCAAAATGCTACAGTATCCCCAAAGTAGACCAACTTCCTCCGCGGGCAGACAAAAACAATCCAACGCACACTGAATTGTTTATGGCCACCCATTTGATGTTGGAAAACAGATGAATTCTTGAAGTGGCCTATGTAAAGCGAGACC